TTAGTTTTGTCATGTCCCTTTGTCCTGTGCTTTATGTTTATTCCAATAAGTAATTCTCCCTCTCATGTCAGGCCTCCACGCTCCCCGCCCCTATCTGTCTCCTGTGTCCGTGATTGTTTTCCCCGTCCTGATTGTTTCCACCTGTTTCCCCTTACCCTGTGTATATATTGTGCTAGTCCCCTCCTGTCCATTGCCAGTTCGTTTCCTCATTTAGGATACACGTACAAGCCTACTCCACGGACATATTACGTTCCTCTCAGCCAGGGGTTCCCAACCTTTTTTCCCAAGAGCCCCCCCGAATGACTCCTGTTGGAAGTTGCAAATTCACAAAGGGATTAAACTGTTTAAAACACATTCTCAAAGTAAGCCGGATTTTGCCGNTGTTCAACGAATCACTTGAATCGTCTAATTAACTCGAAACACCTGCAAGGGTGATTTAGTTTACTGAACCAAGCTGAGTGTTTTTCAAGGCTCAGGAAACCCTTGCAGGTGTTTCGAGTTAATTAGACGATTCAAGTGATTCGTTGAACACCCTACTAGTATACTTTTTCATGATATTCTAATATTTAGAGATAGGATATTTGAGTTTTCTTAAGCTGTATGCCATAATCAGCAATATTAAAATAATAAAAGGCTTGCAATATTTCAGTTGATTTGTAATGAATCCAGAATGTATGACATTTTTGTTTTTTTAATTGCATTACAGAAAATAAAGAACTTTATCACAATATTCTAATTTTCTGAGACAGTCCTGTATGTTGTTAAGGGCCTAACATTATTTGGCTTTGATTTGAGAATCGACTCTCTTTGCAGCTTCAGTGACAAACGTTCCTTTGTCCTGTAGAAAAGGTCTATATTTGATAAATGGGGTTCAACAGGAGTGCATGTGAGCTGTGCAGAGCTGATGGATTTCTCCTGCTGACTGACGTCTACAGAGTGGAGCTGTAACTGAGCTTTGGTACACAGTATAGAGATGATGAGTATCGACGTTGTGCTGACCTTTAACCTCTTTCCTCCCCTGTGCCTCTCCTTCAGGAGTGCTCTACAACCAGTTCCTCTCGCAGGTGGACTTCGAGGTGCTGCGGGACAGAGCTCAGGTTAGATATGCTCTCATATCTGACACTGAATAGCACAATATTGATTTAATAATCAGTTTAGATTTAGTGACATTCTTTTCTGTCCTGCTCTCAGTGATAACTTCTACTGTACACCTTGTTAACACTATAGACCACTAATATATAGTGTGTGGGAGAGAAACCCCCTTTGGAGAAACACAGGGATTTGAGCCTTAGCAGACCATTTACATGCACACCAACATATAGAACACACTACAGGAAAGAGAAAACCCAAAAGCATAATAGGCTGCTTTAAAGAAAACTCGTCCTTACTTGTAGGTCTTAGTTTTCGGACACCAGCGATAACACTGTACATCAGTGAGTAATTGCTGTGGCATGAATGTGGCATCATCACTAAAAATAAATCGATAGGGCAAAAAAAGATGAGTATTCAGATGTTCAGAAAGCTTTTAATATTTCATTAAGATTGTTTATTGATTAAGGCAAACTCCATCAGCTGGCACTGTCTCATCTGAGAGCAGGCGAAGCTCAGTAATCACAACATCACTGTTCACTGTGTTTAGCCTGTTGGTTGTGGAGTAACAAATGAAATGTGATGAGATGAGGTAATCAGGATTTAAAAAGAAGGTAACTGTATTCCGTTACAATTACATAACAAAAGATGTAATCAGATTACTGTTACATTTCTAAAAATGGAGATTACTAGCAGGATTACAATGTTAGTACAAATAGAGTATGTTGTAAAGGATCAGCTGTTATTCCTTGTCTGTAAACTGTACCTTTGCATTACATTTCATCAAATGACTTTTATATTTGAATGCTCCATATTAGGTTACTGATTACATTCTCTTACAGGTAACTAGTAGTTGTCACAGAACACATTTGTAAAGTAACCCTACCAACCCTACACTGAAAAAACTGAAACATTGACTTTGATAAATGTCATCAGATTTCACATAGCTGTATTAGGTTAGTTGAAAGCGATACCATTAAGTTTAAATGAATTCATATTATTGCTTTCAACTAACCTCAAAGTAATTTGTGATGTGTTGGAATAATACATTAAAGTAAACTCTTCATCAACCTTTCTGGTATCATAAACCTTTCCACATGTGCATTTTTTTACTTCAAATTTCAATATAGCAATTCTAAAGGGTCATCAGGTGTGCACTTTCAACAAAGTCAAGAAGCTTACGTCAGTCACTGCTATAGCCAAAGGCCTTCAACTTCAACAGTAGCTCCAATACCTCCATCTCCTTACCCCTTCAACCCACTTATTGACACAACCATGAACTCCTTCAATAGTTACCTGTTGGATGAGCTGTGCATGTGCTGATGCTGTTGGTGTTAATGCTGCTGTTCCTCTGCAGGGCATGGGCTGCCTGGTGTGGCAGGATGTGGCTCACAGGGTGCTGGTGGTGAGTCCACAGGGACACAGCGAGGTGAAGAGGTTCTGGAAAAGACAGAAGTCCAACACGTAGCAGCAGGAAGTGAAACCGTGATGATGTCTGGAATCACAGTTGTTTATTTCTGGCACTGTTGGAGGAAAGTGGAGATGATGTACTTATTTTGTATGTTTCATAAAATGTTGACTTCCATGTCGTGTGGATTAAAATCCTCTGCTCATTTCCTTATTGAGAACTCATTTGCAGATAACCCAAGTTAAAATACCGCGTTATATCCTTTGCAAAAATCTATGTATCAATATGAATTATATTCTGCCCATTTGATTTAACGAGTAACAAGTGGAGTCTTTGACCTCTATGGAACATATTTAGTCATATGTATTTAGCTTTTTCTTCAATTATTCAGTTATATAAAATGTGATTTTCTTTGCAATATTTTTAAGCATTGTGGTTTTATAATAATGAAGCACTACACTAGCACTTTGACACATGGCATCCCAAAGACAGCAGAGGTAGAGTTTCAGACAAAGAATTGAATTAGGACCTTTACTCAGGAACACGTTTCAGAAGAAAATCAGGAATTTGATATTTCAGTTGTGATTTATTTTTCTTTTAAGCTGTCACACATGTAGTTATGAGTTAACAGGTACAAATAAATAGGTAATGCCACACTGAAATGTTAATAATAAACATATTGGGACCGCCGGCTGGCTTTGTGAAGTATGTCACTGCAACTACTGAGTGAATAGTATGGCAGTTGTGAGTTTGGATGATCTTTAAGAATGACATTTTATTGATTTACAAAGATAGCAATGCTTAAACAATACCACATAAACAAAATGGTTATCTTTGAAACTTGGCTTGAAACGTATCATCTTGTGGTAAAGTGGTTTTTTTTAAATATTGGGATTATTAAGTATTGTGAATCATGTAGTACAGCCCTTTACATTTCAACAATCATGATCAGTATTGGTGGGGGGAATCAGTTCAGGGACCCCCTGGCAACAGACTACATTGTATTTGACATCTACGAAATAAGTTAGTAGGCTACAATGTAACCGCTACATAAAAACAGCCACACAAATTGTGTAAGGGGGTAAACGGAATAAGAGCCCCCAAGAAGATAATTGCGGGGTGTCACTGTTAGTCTCACGAGCTCCTATACTAAAGCAGCCAGGCTACGTGTTTGCTAGCATTAGCATGTAAAGGTTTTAATATATCAAGATCAGCGTGACATTTGAATACTAAAAGTAGCCATAGTTTTTAAATGGCATGTTTCCAGTGGCTTAACCGCTAACACCGTGTTGAGCCAGGAGGCTAGCGCTATTTAAACGGCAGCCGGACACAGGCCGCAAAATGGAGCCAGGGACGTCGAGTGAAATCCGGAACGGCTCGGGGTTCCCTGAACCGACCGGTCCTCGGGAGGAGACCCCGGGGGAAGAGGCGAGAGGCGGCATGTTGAAGCGGAGAGGAGCGGAGGCAGAGCCTGCGGAGGAGATGGAAGCGGACTGTGAGAACGAACCGGAGCACCAGAGAAACACCGGAGGGGAGGAAGAAGCTGGCAAACATGAGGAGGAATTGGACCCGAGAATTCAGGCATGTTACACAGTTATCATTTTTACCGACATAGCTATTAGAGATAGGCTACTGTAGTTTTTTTCCACAGAATAGCTAGTTTTATATCATTAACCTTCTGCATAACGAAGCGAAGCGTAATGAACATGGGCACACACTGCACCAGCCTGCTCCTCTCACAGGCTGGTACCCAGGATGGGCAGCCTCTCTGTGCCCTTACTGAACTCCTAATCATTGCTTTGTTTACGACATCTGTCCAGCTTTTCTGGACTGTTTTTATATATGTTTTTAATATGAATTTCCCCTTTTGGTTCCAGGATGAGCTGGAGCAACTTAACCAAGCCAGTGATGAGATCAACAAGCTGGAGCTGCAGCTGGATGTGAGGAAGTTGTTTGTGTAGTGTTTGTTTATTGACTGTTTATTGTAGTGCTGTATTTACAACCTGAATGTGGTGTGTTATCTGTGTGTGTGCTCCCTGCAGGAGGCCAGGTCCAGCTACAGGAGGATCCTCACTGATTCTGCCAGGAGGCTCAATGCTCAGGGCTCCCAGCTCGGTGCCTGCATCGAGAAAGCACGACCCTACTATGAAGCCCGCAGACTGGCCAAAGAGGTGCGTTTGGTAGCTGCATGTGCCCATACTGTATTCAAATGCCATCTACACATTTCTGCTCTGAACCCTGAGGACACTCAGTCTGTTTCTTTATTGCACAGTCGCATGGGGACCTTGTTTTTTTCAAGAAGGACAGTTGTAATGGTAGCTGTACAAAACACATGTAGTACAAGTTGAAACCTCAAACGCTACACGTACAGAAAAAATAAACAGACATGACAACAAATATACTGAATTGTCTTTACAAACTCAAAAATCTAATAGATTTTGAAATCTAATAAACCTAAATCTAGTTCTAAATTAAATACTAGTCCTAACTCAGCACATATGATCACTTTTCTTCACATTTCCTTTTGAAACTACCAAAACAGCAACAAATGAGTCATCACAGTCGCTGTCCAGGGTGCTGATCTCAATGTCGAGATACTGTATGTGCACTAGAACCTAAACACAGCATGTAGTTATGGATTGAATGAAAGAAAGATTCCAAAACCTAAATTAATATAATTTGAAAAGTACATGTGCACAAGGACCAATTTCTATATGCAAATATTGTTACATTGATTAATCCAGAGTTGGAAATACTAATACGGCGTGATAAAGGGGCCATATTATGTTTATTCGGGTTTCCTTTCCTGTAGTGTGTTCTAAATGGTCTGCAAAGCTGAAATCCCTGTGTTCCCTCCAGAGGGAGTATATCCTCCCGATTACGAACCTGAACATGAGCAGAGTAGGGCCCCTTTAAGTTTACCACAATAGGCGCGGAGTACTTTTACCCGTACTTTTCCCGTTTAGTTCCGATAGTGCCTGGAATTTTGCGTTCACACTAGGGGTGTAACGGTTCACAAACATTTCGGTTCGGTACGTACCTCGGTTTTTAGGTCACGGTTCGGTTCGGTACGTTTTCGGTAGAGCAGAAAAAATTATCACAAAACATAACATATATATATATTTTTTAATTATTATTAAACTGTTAATAATGTCTTCACTCAAATAAATACAAAATATAATAAAATAAGCATTAATGTGCAGCATTTCGATGAACTGAAATAATCTGTATTTGAACTTTACTGTACTAGTACTCACAAAACATAAACTATTAGTTTTGGGTTTTTAATTATTATTAAACTGTGAATATTCACTCAAATAAATACAATATATAATAAAATAAACATTAAGGTGCAGCATTTCGATGAACTGAAATAATCTGTATTTGAACTGTACTGTACTAGTACCTAAGCAGCCAGTTTGACATTATGACTTGCTTGTCATTGTATTTTCATGTTTTTTTAACGAAGAATTAACATGTCCACATTGATTGCCGAAAGGGCAGATCTGCTGGCACTAACAATGTCTCCTGCTGTGGAGAACACCCTCTCACTAGGGACAGAGGTAGCAGATACAGCCAGGTAGCGCTTTGCTAACATGGCAACATAAGGATATTTGGCGTTTGTAATAGCTTTGGCTCGGTCTGAACTTTTTGCGAGTGGTGGAGGCTTAAATGCTAGTGGGAGTTGGGTTTGCNAGAGGAAGACATTTATGTGATGCTCATCTGATCCATTCCGGTATTATCTCAATGTCAGTACGTGTCGTCAATAATCGAAGGCGTCTGTCACAGATTGGTTTGGGCAGTCTCTATATAAAGTTAAAAGCAACAATGAGCCAAGTGTGAACCATGGCATTAATAGATGGGTCTGTGAATCCAGCTGACTCGGTGACGCAACTGCTCCTAGCTCGAAAGGGCTGGAAGTCCGCTCATAGCAACAAGCGCAGGAAACAAATCATTTCAAACGAAAGAGATAACTTTATTTTCCTGTTAGTACTATGTGTGATTTTCTTGATATGATTTTTGTTTGTCGGTTAGCATGAGGGGAGGGGACTTCCAGCCTCGAGCAGCACCTTCTACCAAGTCAGGATAGCTACATCGACTGACAGGGTCCACACTGGTGGCCTATCTAAATGAGAACCCAACAATTCGCAGACACTGATTAATGACGACACGTACGTTCCTTTGACATTTTGAAAGAATAACCCTATATAGTGTGGTGTTGCGGTCTTCCGGTTCCCATAACCCTCAAACATCAACATTTTTTTGAATGTGCTTTTGGTTAAGGCGCCTGAATAAGATCTGTAGGTATTACACAAACTATAAAAAGGTTTTCAGGTTTGTTGTAGAGACATACAAAGTATGTCAGTAAATACTCCACGGGTCAAATCACATCAATCATCAATCAATCAATGTTATTTAAATACGCCCAATAATCAAAATGTTAAATTTGGTCTCAGGTGGACTTCACAGTTTGTACAGAATATCAGTATGACATCACGACACCCTCTGTCCTTTGAACCTCACATCGTAAAACTTCCAGAGAAAACCCCACAGTTTAAAGGGAAACATGAGAGAAACCTCAGGGAGAGCAACAGAGGAGGGATCCCTCTCCCAGGACGGACAGACGTGCAATAGATGATGTGTGTAAATTGAAAAGATAATATATTTGACGGTATAGGTAGACTGGTGAATTTAAAAACAAGGGTTACTAACAAGCAGCTAAATGAGACTTCTAAACACCACACCGAACATTAGCCGCCTTTAGCTTAACGGTGGTGAGACGAAGTCATGCAATCGGGATGTAGTTTGTTAATAACATAAAAGTTTCTCTGTTTACAGCTTTTATTCCTGTGATTGCATGTATAATTCAAAAATCATAAAGTGGTGTTACTATATGGAGATAATCACAAAGAACAAAACGTCACGCATCATTTAAACATATGTTTGCCAAGGATATTTTTTTCTGCAATGTTCTAAAATAAAATACGAAAATACCTCATCACTGCACCACTCAATGGAGCCTCTTACCAGGCATGTGTGTGAGGCATGACATTAGTTTCAGACCAACAGCACATTTAGCTGTTAGATATATTAAGTAACACGCTAAAGGGTCGTACGTACTATCCTTTGCAATGTCAATATGTTTCCATTCATAATACTATTGAAGGCCAGTGTCAGTCTGCTACACAATGCAAGCGCCATTTGTTTCACAATGCCCAAAGCGGACCCTCTCAGACACGCAGATATGGAATGTATAATTTGGCCCAAATGTAGCAACAAAAAATGATTGCAAGATTCAACATTTTATCAGACCTCAAGGATACACAGGATAAAAGAAAAACTCTTGTTTGTATACAAGAAAACACCACAGGGCCGTTTGACAAACGTAGCACTCATTCTGAAGGTATTTCCAGAATCTTCAAATCATTTTCTTCTCATCATCTTGTCGAGAAAATACTCTGCATGAAGACCAAGGTATTTTTTAACCATTTCTTAAGTAGACACCGTTTGCTGATCCAAACTAAATAGTTCCTTGAAATGATCTCCTCGATACAATCTATATCTTTATCAAAAATAACAGGAATTATTTCAGAAAGATGTGAGGCCATTTTGGGCAGACATGTATGTAAACTGCGGGTTGATGGGTTGGCGGAGACATACGTCCTCGAGTCGGTAATTCTTGTTTCTTGTTGTCTTCAGTGGAGCTCTTGACCCCTCCATGGAGCAGCAGTACACTGGACAGTACTACCAACCTGAGATGACTTCTCGGGAGGGCACAGAAACATATTCGCCTGAAGAGGAACCGTCCCTTCTTGAGGGTAAAACGGATTGAATCAATAACTAGCCATGTTGTATTAGTTGGAATCCAGCAAATGTCTGTTCAAGGTTGGGTGCAAGATGCCAGGAAACAGCTGTAGAAACAACCAATTAGTGATTAGTAGTAATTGGGTGACCAGGGGCGGAATAAAAGTAGAAAGCTTTAGTATTCCATCTTTTGTTTTCCATTTCTGTTCCTTGTCTAGAACTTGGCATCAATTTCAACCACATCTGGCAGAAGACCCTGACGGTGTTGAACCCCTTTAAGCCTGCAGATGGCAGCATCATGAACGAGACTGATCTGACAGGTCCCGTCCTCTTCTGTGTGGCACTGGGGGTCACTTTAATGATGGTGAGCTGCTAGCATGGTACTACTGCCAAACTCAACCAAGTATATCCACATTACATATAACAAATGCCCATCTGTTTCCTTATTCTCATACATACAGGCAGGTAAAGCCCACTTTGGGTATGTGTACGGGCTCAGTGCCACAGCCTGCATTGGGATGTACGTCCTGCTGAGTCTCATGAGCTCCCTGGCGGTGTCTTATGGCTGTGTGGCCAGCGTCCTGGGGTACTGCCTGCTGCCCATGGTGGGGATCTCTGCAGTCGCCGTCTTCTGCTCTTTAAAGTAAGTCCACTCACTGGTTGTGTGTTATAATACTGTTTTATGTGAGATTCATTGGATGATAAAAAAACAAAACAATTGTTGGTCATGGAAGGAGGTTGTAAAAGTGAAATCAGGAATTCTATTCATTAAGTTAGTGTATCAACCAGCAAACCTGATGAAGTGCTCAACAACAGGATCTCTGAGGTGTTATGTTTTAAGGCCTGACACACCTACCCGATTTTGGGAGTCAGAGGCCGTCAGAGGCAGTCGGGCATTCACGGCGCCCTACTCAGGTTGGTGTGTCTCGCACCGTCGTTGCTTTACGGCACATTTTCACAGCTCCCGCGGCCAAAGAAAGTCGGCCAAATAAATCACTCTGATTGGCTGTGGCCTCTTTTGAATGACAAATACACACTACCGCTACCGGCTGGTAAGGACAGTTATTGCCACTCGTCGACTGAAGTCTTTGCGGTGTGTTCGTAGGCGGGCGGCGTAGGCGGGCGGCGTAGCCGACGAAGGCGACGTAGCGGACGTAAAAGTCGGGACGCCTTCGGTACGCGTTCTTTGGTCTCAGGTTGATGTGCAACCTTTAGGTATGTATGTAGGTGTTACAGCTCACATATCACACCTCTATCTTCTGATAACAGACGTATAATAGGTTAGATTGAGTTGAAGAACACTATTGTTCTCGTGTTCTTGTAAAGGTCATCGGACATGCATTTCTTTGGTACAGATCACAACATGGCACCAGATTCACTGAGTTTATCCACATTTGACACCTAACTGCAAGAGTTCATCAAGTGTGCCGTGCGGTCAGTGGCGTAACAAGATTTTGATTGGCCCCGGTACAAATATTATTTTGGGGCCCACCCCCCATCGCCCCAAACATAAGCGCACTCTGATGCGCTCACACACGCACAGACATACACAACTGCTCAGAAGCGCCACATGTAGGCTATCAACAACAGCCGGCCCTGGCCTCAGACCACCACAGCCTGACAACGGCACAGCGAACTAAGAAGAGGATTACACCTGTTTCCTTGATGTTTGTCTCTGGGGAATGGGCCGGTAGCCCTACATGGACCGGTTGCTATAATATAGTTTTTGATCTTGGTGTCGGGGGTCTCAATACGGCCATAGAGTCCCCTATCGGTTGGAGCCCTTGGGGGAACTGTTGAATCACCGCCGGGCACAGCCAAATCCAGCCTCTCTTCCTGGCTGGCTGGCTGGAGAAGAAGGTTGCACAGCCACGGATACAGCTTCACTTGTGGAGCTAGATGGCAATGATGATCTGGATCTGGCAAAAAAAACGGTTATATAGCAGGAGCTTTAGCTCGCATTGCAATCGTTAACAACTGCACGTCGCCGTCGGCCTCCGATGCTATCGAGTGGAC